TGAATGACCAGAAATTTCAAGAATTTAATTGGAAACCATGAAGAATGGTAAAAATGAAACTTATAAAAAACATAACCTCTTCGGAGACACTCGTTTGGTTAAAAACATCAGTCACATTTTTTTCCCTAAAAAAAAAAGAGAGAGATCCGATTAATCTCCGCATATTGATGAAACGTCAGCCTTCTCCCCTAACCTCGTTACAGGCGGGAGTTTTGAGTTACACATATCGCATGTACGAGATTAATTTAGCACATGGGCTGTATCCGCTGACACGATACTAATACATTAAATCCCGTAGCGTAAATCGGATGACAATGTAGATGCACGGTTTCCAATCGTGTCACTATCGTCCGATACAGTGTATCCAACACACATAAACTAAACTGATGAAAATGCAAGGAGAAGGGGGATTCCCAGTTGTATCTTCGGTGGTAGGTTGGGGCCAACCAATGAAGCCGTACATAGGTATAACTAAAGCTAATCGGGTGCCCAGTTTGTGTGAGCCTATAACGCTTTAACAAGTCCAATACCTACATCGATTTAATTAAGACGGTGAATGTGAATTGCTTGCGAATATGTGGGAATATAAACTTTCCGCTCTTTCGTAATGGATTAATTGCAGGTCATCGGGGTCGTTTGGGGTGATTGGTGAAACACATTTAGGCGTCGATATTTTATTCGTCAATGGAACTCGATTGACAATTCAGTTCCTGAAATCGGATTGCTTCATCAATTCGACGCGAAATATTTCTGGGAAAGGAAAATTGCCTTTTTATAAATCAAACTTTTTTCATCGACGAACGGTTGATTTCACATATATTTTCTTTTAGGTGATAATAAAACTCGAAAAGGGGACGAATACGGAACAAAAAAACACTTTTTCACTTCTCGACTCCAGAAGTCGATCTAGGAATTTTACAAACAGAATTCGACTCAAAGTCAATTTTTCCAATATCCAACCAAAAAAAAATGAAACCTCTCCGCTGTCACTTGATTTCCAAAGCCTGACTTTCCCAAAATATTGGTTGACACAGAAGTAAATCGAAAATCCCCACAAAAGCCATAATAAAGATGAAATAATTGAATGACGAGTCGATCGAGTCAATTTAACGTGGAATCTACGGAGAATGGTAGAGCCAGAGCGAAAGGAGAAGATCGATGGGAAGGTTGGAGGTAATCGAGGTGTCCCGGTCGTTATACGAGACAATTCTGGATATACGAGCGAGAGTTCTCTGTTAAATCGACAGACAAGAGGGGCAGAGGGAATTTTGATACTATATACTGGACAATATCGATCGATCCACTCTGTCCACTCATCGTATTCAGCCAATGGCCGGTACTGAGCTCTGTACCAGGGCTTAATTACCGTCCGATTGATTTATCCGCAGCCGTGGCGTTTCGATTTCAGCGAGACGCCGGGCGTTAATGAGACCCGTCGCTATTCCATCCCCCCCTCCCCCCCATCCACTCCAATTTTTTAATATATCTCTCTTCATTTCAATTTATCCGTTTGCTTCATATCCGCAATAGTCACTCGTGAAATCTATCCATTGTTATTGAAATTCTTTTGATGAATTTGTGAGGAAGGGAGAGAATGAAGCAGCGGATTCGAAATGGAAATATTTAACTTTACAATGTTGCCGCAATGCTGGCACAATGTTGCTCCAATGTTACCACAATATTACCGCAATGTTGCTGCAATATTGGCGCAATGTTGAAAATCAGATCTCTATAAAAAATTATTAGATAATTTTTAATAATTTACAAAATTATATTGATGGCATTTCAGTTGATACCAGCATCGTGACATGAAAAAAGAGAAGAAAGAATTGAAATAGTTATAGACAGTCTCAAGAGAATAGAGTATAATTATCCAATGACTTTTATCGACTTTCCCAAGTGGTAATTATGTCAAGTGAATTTGAGGTTTCAACAGAACATGATATTGCGGTTGTCAGTCTCAACCGATCAGGTGTAACCTGATGAGGAACAGATCAGTCTTTAATTTACTTAACGCCAGCCTTATTATTCGGATAAGGTTCTAATATGATGAGCTTAATCTAAACCTAAGGTTCGTTCACCTGTAATTACTTTGACCAAATTCGGGTGGGGTCAACTTGACCTGAAATGGAGCTATCTGGCAATCATTCTGATCAAGTTTATTATCTGGACTTGAACTAAATTATCCAATTAGTAATTTATTATTCTATTTTTTTTCCTAAACGGACTCAATTAAATGTGCGGGGAAGTGGCATAAATATGCCTACATTAAAAGTATCAAAATAGCAATTATTATTATTAGAATTATTATGAAAAATACAAGAGATGGAATTTCAATTAAATAAATATCTCCAATCAATATTGTACAAGCAAAACAGAACTCATTCATTAGTAATACCGCGATAATCTATAGATCTTCAGCATCGGAAAAGTAATTAAGTTTTTTTAGGATAATATAAAGTGAAAAATTGATTAATTTTTATATTAAATTCATTATCATCAATAAATATTTTCGATTGCAGTCATCAGGGATTATTTCGCTTTGCCTGATCAAACAATAACTCGGCAAGCCTGATCAGCTCCGAATGAATTAACAGCATTACATGTCTGATCAAGTCGTGATCAAGTTGTTGGATGAGTACCTCATCGAGCATCAAGTCTGACTTCATTCGAACTTGATCCGACCAGAGCCAAATTTCCACTCGGATGGTTGAACATGGAAGTAATTTTTCTAACATTATCATCCAATTCCCTGTGCCCTCTTGTTTTATTATAACCTCAACGCGTTCGCCCACAGCCATCCATTATTCAATACTCGATTTCTCGTACAAGCGTCAGTGAACTCGTCGAAGCGATTGGCAAAAACGTGATGTTCAGTATTATGTGAAATAAAAAAAAAGCCAAAAGGGATGGGGATACTGTTGAAGACGTGGATCTCTATTCGCTCGGTCTTCTTCAGTCGCCCAATATAATGCTCTATATTTATAATGAAAGGACAGGAGAAAGAAAAAGATGACAGACAGAGAAGACGTCCTGGTGAGTCCGCAAGCTTCTGCGGCTGTCAGACGGGAATAATAAAACGACGTCTCTGAAACTCCACCAGAAAATCCTCCTACCTCTCCTCAAAACCAGACCAACTTGGCTTCGTGTCAAGTTGGCGGACAGTTTCCTCGCTTCTGGATAAATATATTGAGGTTCGACAATCTGCTATGAGATTTAATGCCGCAGATCAATCATTTAGAATACTGATAAAAGGATTTGCTTGTACCAATCGATTACAATTTTTCCAGTATTGATTTTTAAGAGACTAATTATTCATGTAAAATATTGTAGAGAAAACATTGAATTTTCCCACTCAATATATCGTCGGTCCTTTGACATGTGATGAATGAAGCGTCGATAATAAATTCATTTATTCACCATTCGTATTCAGAATTTTCTTGCCTCCACCATAGAAATGAATATTTCCTTCATCACTCGATTCTCCACATATTCATGAAAACATTAGGGAACCGATTTGAAAATCGAATGCAATTCCCTCATCGCAAATCAATCGATTACATCCACAGATTGATGGAATCTCGATGTATTCAGGTGTGCCCGTTGAGATTTGAGGATAACCCATGTGAATAGGTCGAATACATGGTACATGTGTGTGTGATATATGACGGGAACTTGGGTCTTACGATGGCCTCGGCAATTAACCTCGGCTTCTTCGGTACTTTCGTGCTGGTGTTAGAGACCACCGGTGCAACCCTCGAAACCTGAAACTTGTTTGCATTCACGATTTAACCAATTTAAAACCGTTTTATTCCCTTCGAACGCACCAGCATTATGCGAATAAAGTGAGGTATAATTATTTTTTGGAAATGTTCTCACAATTCCAAGCGCTCGTATGAATTTAAACGTAAATTACGTTTGAGCAAGCGGATTTTATGGTTTTCAAATTATTTTATATTTTATAGTCGTGTGCATTTCTGGTTTTTCCGTGGTCACTCAAAAAATTATACTTGAAACGTTTGTAATTGTGGCTTGAAATCTTCAATTTGACGTGTTCAACGTTGCCACAATATTGCCACAACATTGTCACAACGTTGCCGTAACGTTGCCCCAACGTTGCTGCAATGTTTAAAATCAATTCGCAGTCCAGAGACTCGCCGTCAATAAATCAATACTTCTGAACGGCAAGGTATATTATTTGCTGTTCTAATTCAACAGTTACCGAGGCTCGTTACCATCAACCGAATTGATCTGTCAGTGCAGAGAGCTTGTATCCGACGATCCGGAAGTGAGACGAGGATTTGTAATGATGCATCTGTATTACAAGGAGCCAAACTCCGATGATCGGATGCAGAGGCGTGCACTCGAGTTAAGACGACGGATGTATGTACATAATGGGTTGTAGTTGTGAGGTGAATCTTGTGTATTTGTGTGTTTGAGGACAGAAGGATGAAACAGGAGAGCCGAATGGGATAGGAGGTGAATTGGTACCTAGACATGGATGTATAAACTACAAGTGCACCAACTCGACAGCACTAATACCGTATTCTGTTGGGTTCCGGAGCGTGAATCGTTTCAATATGCATTGAGAATGGGTCTGAAATCTGAATGGGGCATCTATTTCGATGGAATAACCATTCGGCGTTTCCAATATGGTACATACACGGGAATTCGTGTACGCATCTGTAATGACTCAACAGTATCCGCCAAAATGGGTTTTTTTTATTCCACTCTCCAATCCATGAAACCATTAATTAATATTCTGAATATACAATTTCTCTCATTACGTTCTGTTCATTAGTTAATAGCAAATGATCAAACTACGACTCGATGTGTAATAAATATTTCATTAAAAGCATTACCCCCGCCGTTCAATTAGTTAACAATTACTCCAAAGTACATGTTTTCCAGCGCATACAGACCGAGAAGTTGAGGCGAAACCAATTGGAAAGTTAAATACGAAATACCAATTAAATGCATGGGAAATTGATTAAGCTCACCACTTTAGATGATACTTGGCTAATTAATTGCCGACTGTGAATCCTCTGCTCGCTTACCTGTAACACACCAAGACATGATAATTATTATCACGTGTTAATTAGTAAAGGGAGTAAAAGAAAATATTATCAGTGTCCACGGATTTTAATTAATTACACTATTTTTCATGCATTCAAAAAAATTGTGTACGTTTTTGATTGAAGTTTGCAGCGATATTGATTATATCAGCAACCAACTTCATTCTTCAATAAATCTTTTCTTCCTGAAATGGTATTCTTTAGCCGAACGGGTGATCATAAAAAGAAATTGTCACGATTATTTTTTAATCCGTACGGGGTGCGATAATGGAACATTTGATGCAATCTAGATGATCACTGATTAAATGCACTCTGCATGCGTCCGTCTTTAAGATCTTCTGGACCTATTCTCAAAAATATAAAAAAGCGATGAAATTTTTGTTGAAAGCTTCTTCAATCATTCCCAGAATTCCATGAAAAATTCGAGATTCGATTTTTGCAAGCCCAAAATAAAGTTATGATTTTTCAAAAAACTGAATTTAACTAAATTACAAAAAAAAACCAGAATAATATTTCCATCCGTAATGAAACTTTTCGCACAGTTAAAAAATAATCGAATACACCACCGCCATATTTTTTCTTATTTAGGTTAACAATTTGGATCAGAAAATTGCAACAATACCTAAAGGTGGAGGACACCCGTGAAAAATATTGAATGACAATGTTTTTTTCTCGGTACTTTAATTTCATGGATTATGACAGTTTATGGTACAGCGATGTGCAAGTACCCGTTACAAGTGTACCGAGGGTAATTAATGAGAAGACCGCACTCGATGATATTCCTCGGGGTCTAATAATCTCCGAACGACTTGTGAAGTACCAATTGACACGATTCCAGGGGCCTATTGGGGTTCTATTGGTTGATGAGGAACGTGAGGGGATTTCGAGGGAGAGAAAGGTCGAGTATATCTCGAGAATTAATCTCAAACAACGAAGAAACTACAACCTCTCCGTCCCTCCGACCCTTCCTCAACAATCCTCTTGTCCCTCTACACCATCATCCTGTCTAGTATCTGTATATCTCCGTCCTTATTACTCTCATTTCAGAATTAATCTTGGCGTAATTGCGCGAGTTAATTAATGGCATTAGAGCACAAAACGACGAGATCTTCTTACCTTACTTCTCTCCGTTGTAACACTTAGCTCATTATCTTTTGTCATGGCGAGAGATATTATTTTCGGCTACCAGTGAAATTTCACGAGTTTGCCATGATAAAGTTTTGGACAGTTTTGTCTTAGCGTTTTAGCGGAATTGTAAGTTGATAATTATTAAGTCTGGGGTATTTTATAATTATTCAGGAGAGCATCAAGTCCCGGAAAATTGTCTGGACATTTATTCGGGGTTTATGAGATGAAAACTTTTTCGATATGATTTTAAGCAAGTGTTACTGAATTTTTTGGGGGAATCGCTTCTATTTTCAAAAATATATATAACGAAGACGAATTAAGAAATATTCAAATATCCTATATTCGATTTTCCATTCAATTGATTTTATTCATTTTTACGCCATTGTGCGATGGCCTATTGCAAAAAATGCCCCCCCCCCCCCCTAAGAAAACAAAATAGCAACTATGTTATTAGAAATATAAATGAATGTACAGATTTAGAAGAATATTAAGAACGCAGTGAGAGGTTAGGAAGCCTTAAGTCCCAAATTGTGCAATCGCCACCTTGCGGTCATTTTCAAATTTAAACGCACATTAAAAGTTAAAATTTTGGGATTGATCAATTTATTCACAGTAGATGACGGAAAAGAAAGAAAATCAAATTCTATCGACACAGTCGATCAAAAAATTGATTTATCGATTGACCAATGAGGAATAGGGGTACACGTGACGTCTTACGCCTGAAGTTAGCTGAAGTCTGAACATTTTATTAAAGAAACCAAGTCGTCTAACAACATACCGAAAAGTGAAATTTCACCGAAATCTCTCACCTCGACACCTTCTCCTTCAGACTCCAGCAATCACAATGAAGAGAATTTAATTCGCAATTGTACATTTAAAATGTAAATTCTCAGGTGTGAAAGGCATAACCCCAAAAGGCATCGAATACTAATTTATTATCACTGATCGAGTGGAGCCACACGATGTATCTCCTCTCACGGTTGCGTTTAATTAAGTGCGGCTGGTGGATGGCGTGTGGGATTTTGCAGTGGCGTGTGTACACACGTTTGATTTCTCAAACAAACTCAACCGAACACTGGCAAACATGGATTTATGTTTGAGCACCGGCTAAAACCGCATATTGTTCGCACACTCGAGCGAGCACGGGAATCAATGCTAGTACGTAAATTTGCCATTCGGAATTCAATGGTGTTTGCCGAGTGTATTCCTGATAAACTCGTGTTGGCAATTCCGATGATGGATTTCGACTCTAGGAGGGAGGATGCTTTGATGCGCAACTGGATAATTACAGTGTATTGATGAGAGAAAGGAGATGTCGGTATAGACGGAATAGTCAGCAATTTGACGAAGGACAGCTTTCCAACCGATTGCCGACCGTTTGATGATCGATTGATCATTTTTCATCTGGCATAGTAACTCCAATAATTGAGAAAAAAATACGCCATTCGAATTCTCAATGCTATGAGAAAATATCTGCCAATTAAAACCCATCGCCGATATTCATCTTAAAAGTTGAACAAATCGGTTTCGTGTTACGCCGTCACACCGATCCACGGATTAGGTTAGAGAGGCCTGATGTATTTGGTTCAGCATTTTTTTAAATTCGTTAATCAGAACCGGGCATTCAGTTATAAATGCAACGAATAACTGTTCATTCAACTGCTAGCCGATTTGATTTTATTGAATTTTTCTGGTAAAACGAATCGAAAACCGTTGGAGTCAACTGAGCATTTGGTACTAGCTACCGAATTGCAGTTGAATCAACGCGCCATCTAGTTGGGGGACATACGGTATTTATGGTGGTCATATTACCAACTAGCCATTTGGTAACTATTACCTCATCATCCAGTTGAATCAATCCTAATCTTTTGAGATCTAAGAGCTGTCTGAAGGTTTTATTACACTTTATAAATATATCACCAAATTACGGTAGATCTTTTAAATTTAGAGAGATTCTTGGAAAAGTTCGCAGCTTATTTCCATTGAGAGTTCGTGAAATTGAATTACGAGTCAAAATGAAATCCTATTCTAAAAGAGACGCACTTGACACAATCGATTATCTCGAAAATCTCGAAATCATGACGCCACGATTCCTTATTGGTCCACCTAAAGTGGCGCGAAATTACAAAGTCGTAACTCTCTTACAAAAATCTTTTCATACCCGCGCGCTGGCGCGGATTTTTTCGAAAGCTTGATGGACTGTGGGCCATCCGTTTATACTGTCGTCTTGTTACAATAAGATTACATGAAGATTTTAAAAAATCAGCAATTTCGACAGAAATTCGACAGTTGAAATCGAACGGAAAATTTCTGAGAGTTTTCCAATTTATTCTCGAAGAAATCCACAAAAAAAATATGGAAAAATTTTGAATGTGGAGAATAATAACTCAAGGGAAAACGGAATATCAGTGAAAAGGAGTAAACAAAGATAAGAGGAATATCTCACATCGAATACGGAAAATGGATTTTTCGTCGATATATATTCTTGTTATTATTCGTCGTCTTTTGAGAATAGCAAAAAGAAAAGCGCGATAAAAAGTAGTGCACGACTGCTCGACCATGGCTGAAGGCATGAGCAAAAGAGATTGGATATGGATGCAAGGGGATGAGAAAGTTTCTTTCTCCCTTTGGAAATAGGAAAGCATGGACCGAGGATATTTTCCCGGCACAATGGAGTAGTCGAATATGCGAAAACGTATATTGAAATATTCTTCATCCCTCTATATATCTCCGTTGCTTGTGGTCGTTGTGTTGTCAGCGGTTTCGAGTTTAATATTTTCTTGGGGTGCGAGAAAATATTGCGACATTTGCAGAGCCATCCTTATTGGCTTTGTCGAGGAAAATAGAAGAGGGAGAGAAGTACATTGAGGGGAAAATACGGACTTTTGTTGGAAAACTTTATCGCAGCTGGATTTATTGGGTTTATGAATTTTGGGAATTATAGACGGAATTGACTCGATCATTATTTTTTATTTTTGGTTGTGAAATCGTGCATTCTGTTTGATTAATTTATTGAAGAGGGCAAGGACTTTTATATCAAAATCAAAATAAATTCGGTTGAATTTATTTCAATAATCGGAAATAT